AACAAAAAAGAACCCACAAGTGGGAGTCCACTCAGAGATGCCTGAGAAGAAAAATGTGGCATCATAGTTCTGTAAGAATAAACCATTGATGGTTTCGCTCCGGCACACACAAGATCATCATGAGTCCAGATCACCTTGACAGCAACTTTTAATTCTGTATTGATTGGTTGATATGCACAGAATCATGTTTTCATGGAGATGAATACTAAGGCCTTAAAAACTGGTCTGTCCCAAGAATGAAAACCAAGGCATTTTGGGTTTTTTTTGTTTTTCTGAAGAAATGTGAGTGCCCTGCAAATTTTAAATTGTGAATGTAAAGCTCTTGTGATTGAGTTGTATTTGGTATGGTCTCTGGTTATGCACAGTAGTGATACACTACCATGTGTGACGGTCAAGAATGATGGAATGAAGATAGAAAGGCTTGTTCCTCTCACAGACTTCCATCTCTCACCAGAGGGTCTGACAGTCACAGCATAAGCAGCTTTTCAGGCTAACCGATGGTAAAGAACTTGGAGGTCTGAGGTTAAAGTTAAAGATACAGGCATGGCTTTCTTTGCTTATAATTTGGAAGGAAGAGGAAAAAAATGTTTCCTAGAAGTAAGGTTCCTTAGCTAAGGTAAACTTTTACGATTCACATTAAATTGATCCAACTGGCCAGAAAACAGAATCTTACAAGTGTGTGAGTTCAAAATAGTTTGATTTTCATAAAACTCAAAGAGTCTGCTTGGGAACATCATAAACACAGGATGCTGTGCATGTACCACGTGTGTATCTGAACAGCTGGCAGGGCTGGTGCCTGTCAGAGAATGTAGAGGCCACCAAGGACCTGCAGGACCTTCTGAGGATCAGCCTGCCTGTTTCATAGTTCCCTAGGGCTTGTCTTTGTCAGTGAACCAGATTTCACTGTCCAGCTGCTTAAACTCTTCATTCATTAAGACAAACCAAATTGATGATTTGTTTAGATTCAGACCCTTCATATGTTTCCCATAAATGGAGCTGTAGCCTGTTCCCCAAACCCTACATTTCCCTGATACAAGCAGCCATGTTAGTGAAAGAGCATTGGAATCCACTGGGAAGGCTGAACTCACAGGGAAAACAATGTTCTGAGAGTAAACAGCTTCCTGCATTTTTATCCTGTTTTCTATTCTGAGAAGCTTGTAGCTTCCTCATTCAAGCCTCTTAGCCAGCATTTTCATTCTACAAAAAAATACTATGATTCATCTTATATCACTAGCAAAGAAGACATTTTCTTGGACTTGGACTTTGAGGTCAAAGAGAACAGGAACTTCTAAGGAAATGGAAAGTAAAATGCATTTTTATTTTAGGAATGTTGCTCATCATTCAGTGCAGTCTCTTCCTCAGATCTCAAAAATTTCATGTCCTCCGTGGAATTCCTCCCCAATAACTTTGTGTGTTGAGATGTTCCATCTTTAGAAGATGCTGCACACTTAAATCCCAGACATCAAAGCGTGATGCAAAAACAAGACCAAACAAAAAGTCTCTAACAGATGTCATGCTTCTGTAAGGTCAAAATTAGATCTCTTCAGAAGATTCAGTTGGTCTAGTCTAATAAAAGATATTATGGCTCATAGGACTATCCTAATAAATGACACCAAATCCATCTGTCACATCCAGTTCTTCATGGTCCCATGGGTATGACATGCACTTACTTCTTTATGTCTGTATTAATCTTCCTTACCTCTTTCATCCTTTCTCACACATACACAGACTCAGAAAAACCACATGTACATACATAACACACATACATATAAAATGTTTCTATAATGCCAGACAATTCCATTTGAATAAGAAAATAAACTACTTGGTTGTTTTTATCTGGCAAATATTTTTATGACTAATCAGTAGTTTCCCATTCATCCATGGCTTGTAAGCAAAAACAATTTATTTGTCCTTATACAATACAGTCCCTCTCTATTCATTGTTACAGAAAATTTATCAGAAAATAATACTGTTGTCTTTCACTGGGAACTTCCAGGGAGAAGAATAAATGAGAATGATATTCAAGAGTTATTTAGCACCTGGTATTATTTGCTTTCTCTCAATACCAAGTCAAAAGATACAGAATTTACCACTTTGAAGAGCTGTTTGAATGGAAACTGTGTTCACTGGAATATACTATTTGCAGAACATTTTAGAAAGAGCTGCCTCCTGGGGACAGTGTATATAATGATTCTCCCAGTAACATATCCAAATGGGTGTATCAGTGGCAAAGTCATTTGGAAACTTCTAAAAATAAAACCTTATTGTTTCTGATAAGCCACAGTACATAAAAATATATATGTGTATATTTCTGTGTGAGAAGAATTTGAATGGAAGAAAGGATTTTTGAAGCTCCATCTGACATACTTTGGGCATCTTGCAAAGAGGGACCAGTCCTTGGAGAGGGACATCATGCTTGGAGGAGTGGAGGGACAGTACAAGAGAGGAAGACCCTAGATTGAATCAGTGACTGGAGTAATGGGGATAGATGTGTCAGAGATGGTGAAATTGGCTTAGAATAGAGCAGGATTCAGAGTTGTTTAATTAGAGTCAGGATGAGTTGGAGTTGACTCAACGACACATAGCAGTAACAGAACTAAGGTTGCATATTGCCAAGTTTTCACCCTAAAATCAGCAAACAACAATACAATACATCTGAATTTAGGCTTTTAAGATGTAGTTTTAAAATAAAGTGAGGGGGAAAAATCAGAACAATTTTGAACAATAATCCTAGCACATATCAAGTCTAGGGGCAAAGACACTGTTTATAGCAAAAGGAAAAAAATAAGAATTTAAGAAAGTGTTTTAGTGGTTCTTGATTTATAAAAAGCACTAAACATGCAAATAGGTAGTATATTGATACTTGGCCTGTCTAGCTGCTAATTTCCAAATCAATCTTTCCCTGTATTTTAAGTCATTTATTCTCTATTTCAGAAAGAGATTGAAGCTATTAAAGACTTAGATCTATCTTTCATAATAAAGGTGGGAGATTAAGGCCAACTGAGGGAAAAGAAAATACCATAACTTCATGTTAGGAATACAGATTTTCCCAGAGTAGTTTGACATCTAAGAACAGAAGTATAGGGAAACAGGATTAGAAGTGTTTCAGGGACCCACGTGAAACTAAAGATCTTAAGAATTCAAAGCGGGGACTCAATCAGATACTTGTCCACCAGTGTTTATTGCAGCACTCCCCTCAGAAGGTAGACACCTAAGCGCCCATCACCAGATGAATAGCTAAGCAAATGTAATGTTGTTGTTGATGTATACCATCGAGTCAGAACTGACCCATCGCAGACCTTCCAGAGGGTGTTCAGAGGTGGTTAATCGCACAGGAGGAGATTGCCTATCATTCTTCTGCAGAGCATCTGGTAGCCTCAAACCACATGCCTTGGGATTGCAGCACAGCTTCTTGCCACTAAGCCACCAGAGTCCAAACATAATATATCTATGCCAGAATGCAATACTGCACAGCCTTACAGAGAAATGAAATTCTGATGCACATTTGACATGGTTAAATCTTGAAGACATTCTTCTTCTTGTTGTTATGTGCCGTCGAGTTGCTTGTGACTCATAGCGACCCTATGTACAACAGCCCTAAACTCTGCTCTGTCCTGCGCCAGTCGCACTGTCTCTGATACACCCATCCCGATTACCCCAGTCACTGAATCAGTTCACCTCATACAGGGCCTTTCTCTCCTGCGCTGTCCCTCCACCCTCCCAAGCATGATGTCCCTCTCCAAGGATCGGTCCCTCCTTACAGAAGACATTCTACTCAATTAAATAAATTAAACAAGAAAGGACATATACTATATGGTCCCACTTACATGAAATACTTTAAAAAGGCAAATATGTAAATATAGACTTTATTAATGCTTACCAGAAGCTGCAGGAGGAGAAAAAGAATTTTATTATTTAAGGGGTACTGAGTTTCTGTTTGAGGTGATTAAAAAGCAGCATTTCTAAAAAAAAAAGCATTTCTGAAGATAGATAGGAGTGATATAGTGCAACCTTTTGTGGTTGTTTTTATGAGCTGCCTAGTCAGAACTGACTCATAGCAGGCCTGCCAGTGGCTTTTCAGAGGCTGTAAGTAGTATGGAGGGAGATTGCCCATCTTTCTTTTACAGCACTGCTGGTAGACTCCAGCCTTTGGATTGACAGTGCGGCTTCTTATCCACTAAGCTATCCGAGCTTCCTGTAGTACAACATAGTGAACATATTTGTCACTGAATGACAGAACCAAAAATAATGTGGATTATTTTCTATATTTTACCATTACAAAATGGGGGAAATACGAAATTATAGATGTATTGATGAGCTGTGGTAGTACAGTGAGCAAAACACTTAACTGCTAACCAAAGGTTGGTAATTTGAATCCACAAGTCACTCTTTGAAAGAAAGCTGAGACAGTCTGATTGAAAACCTTGGAACTTGTAGAGCAGTTCTGCTCTATCACTATGAGTCGATATCAACTTGATAGCAGTGGGTTTGGCTTTATATTTATATACATACACATATACATATACATATTTGAAAACTGTTTCTCTCCATAATGCTAAGTGTCATGACACACATTCAGTACACACTCAGCAAATACATGAACAGATAACTAAGGGCTGATAAAACCTTTGGGACAGTAAGGACAATGATGATGGTGCTCTGTTAGAAAAGGTGCAATTTCCTTTTTTCACTGTTTCTGACCACTTTTCTTTTATATAACAAGAAATACAATTTGGGAACATATCCATCTGTCTTTATAATTTCCATGTCAATACATTATGAATAAAAGATTTTACATTGTCTTCCCAAGTTATTGTAACATGCTTTTAGAGCATATCTAAGTCAAGTACCTAGCTGGGAAGTATTTTTACATCCTGGAAGTGTATTTATGATTTTAGCTGAATGGAGTTGTTTATTATGGTAGAAGAGAGCATAAAAATAACACATTGAGAAATCAGATTGAACCTTTTAATCTTTCTCTTTTCTTTTCCCATATTCATAGGATTTCTTCCACTAGAAGCAAGATGGCTGAACTTAATACACATGTGAATGTCAAGGAAAAGGTAAAATCGAGTTATATTAATTCACAGAAACTCCAGACTGGCTTAATGTAGTTGGTGAAAACGTAACTCTATTATAATGGAAGAACGAAAATAGTTTTAGGGGCTGCATATAGTAAGTTTGCCACACCGGAAAATCACTTAGCAGAAAAACAATAAGTATCATTTACTAAATGTTTCTTAAGCTGTTTATTTTCATTTTCTCTCTGACCATAACTTTATGAAGCAGATGCTACTGTTTTTCACATTTTACATAGAAGGGAACTGAGACAGTTCTGCCTAAATTCACATACTGAGTATCTGATGGAGCTGAGATTCAAACCCAGTCAGAGTCCTTCTATAATTTATACTGTTAAACACCATGCCAAGTTTTATGGAAGAATTAATACTTTACTATAGACACCTCACTGAAAATAGCCTCGTGTTCAGGTGCACCTCCCAATGTTCAGGCAAGGTGTCCTTTAATATTTCCACCCTGAAAGGAAATGACTGAAAATTGTATTTCAAAGCCCTTCCAAGTCTTGCTCTCCTCTGTGAACGTTCCTGCATTTACAGCCATTCCCACTTCCCATGCAGATGACACTCCACTGTTAGCTTTTACTGGCAACAGGCCATAGACTTTCTGAGACCGTAGAGATCGATTCGTCTAGACCCTTCATCTGCCACCTGCGGAGCAGATGCTCTAGAAGTGGTTTGCCTGTGCTCACACAGCCAGGTTGGAAGGACCTAGATAAAAACCGAAGTCAGCTTCGTGGATCATCCCACCATCACCAGTAGCTTCCGCTGGATTTTAAACTACCTGAGAATAGGAATTTGTACTGCATCTCTTTGTATTTCCGTGGTACCTTAAATAGGGAAGGGTAAGAGCAATGATGTTTGTGGAAGACTTATTATTTATTTATTTTTGAGAAAAGAAACCCTCTCAAAAAAAAGATTAATTGGACCCTTACTTTGTATCTTATACATAAATCTTTACCAAAGGAGCCCTGTTGAATGGTTAAGTGCTCTGCTGCTAGCCAAAAGGTTGTCAGTTCCCCTCTCCCAGCAGCTTCCTGAGAGGACTTGGGGTTCGACTCCTATGAGGATTGCATCCAAGGTGCTTCTGCTCAGGTACATGTGATTACTGTGAGTCAAAATTGACTCAGTAGCGCCCCAAAAACCACCTTTGTGACAAGTGCTATTCTAGCTGCTGTGGGCAGGGCACTGAACACGTAGGTGAAGCGTCTGCTGCTCTGGGCTCACTTCTAGCATAGAGAAATGGTAAACTAACAACATGCACATGAATGCAATCCTTTCAGGTAAGGGTAACTACTGAGGAAATGCAGCAGGAGAGTGGGGCAGGGTTAGGTGGTCAGAGAAGCCTTAAGAAAAACAAAAGCGTATTTCTAAGGTAATGAATAACAAGTCATCACAGTGAGGTGAACAGAAGACGTGATGATGGGTGGTCTAGAGGCGAGAGAGCACAAGAGTCAGTTTTGTTAGAATTACTGGGGTCCAGACACCTCTCGGTGATCTGAGAATTCCAGGTACTTGAACTCGGGGAAAAATATGTTTTTACCTTCACTGACATCTAAGTGAAATTTATTTAGCTTTGCCTTCAATCATGAAAGTAGGAAAAAACAAAACAAAGCACGGCAGTAGCAGCAGTACCTGTGGCTTTCCCAACTCAAAAATCACAGGTATATTCTGTATTCATATGAAATTACATTTGTTGCAGCTATGTTGTTGTTGTTAAGTGCCGTTGAGTCGTATATGACTCATATGTTGAAGTAGTGTTTATTTACCACTATTGCACTGGTGGCAAGAAGCTGCACTGTAATCCCAAAGGGACACAGTTCAAATTCACCAGCTGCTCTGTGGGAGAAGGATGAGCAATCTCCTCTCATCCAATTTACTACCTCTGAAAACCCGCCAGAGATTCAGCTATGGGCCATATCTTCCAGCTTCACGGCACACAACAACAACTGCAAAATTACTAATTTTAGAACCAAGATTGTGTTATTTGAAGTGTTGATTAAAATACATAATATATAGTACTATTGTATAAATTTGGCCTTTAAAATGTATTTGTTATGAGTTATTTTGTTTGTAGTCATATTTTGTTCCATACATTTTTAAACTCTTCTGAAGGATCCTGAGCTTCACCTGACTGCCAAAGGGGCTTCTATGAGCTAAAGCTATTTAGGGGTTTTTTCCACAATCTTTTAATTCAAAAGCTGTGTGGAGTTTTGTGCCAAAGGTGGTAGAAAGTTTTCAGTAGTTCCATAATGTGATACAGTAGGATGTGTCAGTTACCATGTTTCCAAATCTTCATATATGATGGCTTTATTATATAGGTACTCTTTCTATTTGCTGAAGAAACTGAGGCTTAAGGTTGATTACTTGATTGATTCAAACCCAGCTATGTCTGCAGTCTTTACACTTCATTACTGCTTCCTAAGTGTTTAGTAAAATGCTCCTGTGGCACTGAAGAACAAATGTGGAGACCGGTATATCTGGAGATAGGATCAAAACTGTCTTACACAAGCTTAAAACTTTCCTTCGAGTTCTATGTATTAGTTGTAAAATGTGCATACATTGTATTTCATAATACATTAATAGTCCATGTATTGTGTTAATGTACGTTGCTGCAAATGACGGTGAGAAAACTGTGTTTCTAAGCACAGTCATTGATTAAAAGTGTGCGGCAACATGTTAAAAGGTTTTAACTTGCAGAGCATTGAGAGAAGACAATGGCAGAAAGATGTCATCCTTTTAACTTATGACTTCGTATTCTCCCTGGCTTACAGTCAGAACACATATCCCCTGGTTAGAATATCTGGGTCAGGCCCTGCAGCTCTGACCAGAGATTGGTCCCTTTCCATATATCTGCTGATGGAGGGACTGAGCCGCTCCTACGGTTGAGTGGGGAAGGAAAAGCCCTTTCATGAATGAGAGTCATAGAAATTGAGTTCTGCAAGACTAGTGAACAGACCAATATGGTAGGCTGAGCCGTCAACAATAGCCTCCTATTCAGGCCTCTGTTCAGTGTGGCTGCGAGCCAGGAAGGGGAAGGCGGCTGAGCCGTCAGCACACAGACCACAGAGGGCTCAGTGTGAACACGCAGGCGTTGGCCTAGGCGCCACATCCATCCACTTGTCACTGGTAATGTCACATCGGCATATGAAGATTAACAGTAAATAGTGTTTGCCATTGTAACTTATCAAAATGTTGGCATTATTTTGAAAGGGGGTGATGCTTAAATTGTAAATATTATCAATCTGCATGACAATGAAAGTACAGCTACTCTAACTCAATTAGTGAATTCCATCTACCTATGTCTAAAGGTTAATAGATTTCCCAACTCAATAAAATAAATCATAATAAACAACTGAAAATTCCGATCATTTACAATTTTACATTGACTTATTTGAGTACATTTCTTTCTTTTTGTTATTAGTTTTTATGGCCTTTTTATGATTAGTTTGGTTCTCAATCTGTCACCCAAAGCAATGACATTTTAGTTCTGAAAATTAAGAATAATAACAACTGTTGTGTCTTGAATTATAAGCGTTTAGAGATCGGAGAGTAGATCTATGTTGTGTTCTTGATACAATATCTAGTCAGGCACTGTGGGAAATTAAATACTTCATCATTGCCTTGTGTTGAAATAAGCGCATCAGTTACCCCTAATGGATCTAGTGTTGGCTGGATTGAGTGGGAGTAGGTGCTTTGGTAGGCGAAGACATCATCTCTGTCCTCATGTGACTTTTAGTCCAAAGAAGTAACTATTAGCTTGAGTTTAAATATCCAAGGTGACTGAAATTTGAAATTACATTCTTTATGACTGTTTTAGGAACCCTGGCAGTGCAATGGTTGAGCCCTTGACTGCTAACCAAAAGGTTGGCAGTTCAAATCCACCATCAGCTTTCCAGGCAAAAGATGTAGTTGTCTGCTTCAATAAAGAGTACAGTACAGGCTGGGGAACCTGTTGAGAAGTTCTTCTCTGTCTTACGGGGTAGCCCTGGGTCAGAATAGGCTTGACAAAAGTGTGTTCTGCTTTGGCTGGTAACTTTTATTTGAAAGTATTGTTTATATTCTTGGATAACAATTATAAGGATTTAAATGAGAATTCTTGTTGGAGTAGAAGTTCATGTGTCTTGGTGTGACGTATACCTAGCACAATCTGACCCTGTCTCCTTTTCCACCCATGTCTGCTGCCAGTGCTCCAAACACCACCTTCCAGCTAGTCTGCCCTTTAATGGTTCAGCCCCTCTGTCTAAGATGTCCTTTTGAGGAACCTGACCCTATCAGCTTTGTCCTCCCCGTCCCCACCTAAGTTACGTGCTCTTCCTTTGCTTCCTTGGCACTTGAGTGGATTCTGTGCATCCCTCCACTGAAACTTCTACACCTTGTGGTGTGATTCTTCATTGCCTGTCTTCCCATGTTAGGCCATAGGCCCTTTAGAACTATGGACTGTGTCTTACTCATCTTGATTTCTCGAGTTTGACACAAGCTGACCCTTAATTAAAACAACCCAAACAAAAAAGCAGTTGCCATCAAGTTGATTCTGACACCTAGCTGCTCTATGTGTTTTTCTCCATTCCATAAGGTATTTGGTAGCTATGACCTTTGGAAATAGATCACTAGGCCTGTCTTCTGAGATGTCTCTGGATAGATTTGAACTGCTGACCTTTCAGTTAGTGGCCAAGCACTTAACCATTAGTACCACCAGAACTTCTGACCCTCAATTAAGAGTTAGATAAATGAAGAGAAAAGGAATGAATGAGCTTGCCTGCCTGAATAGTTAAGTACTTTAGAGACTACATTTCCCATTCATGATATTTGCAAAATCACAAGCCTTCTTGAAAAATGAAATATAGGTTAATGGAAATGTCATCTCATTTTAGTTCTTATTTTACTAGTGAATAGAGCAAGTTTTAAATTGCTTCTAAAAACAGAAAGCAGCTTAGGTTGACCACCTGCGGCTATGCAGAAGCATAGCATTTTTAAGAATAGTTACC